AAAGATATTAATTTATTTAGTTACAAAAAAGCGATTCACGTTTACGTTACCTCATAAACTGAACAGAAATACAGTCCACCAGCTGGACGATAAGGTGCAATGTAAGGGGTTTCATGTTATTTATTCAAAATCTCAAGTAAGGTTTTCTTAATGGTAAAATGTGAGTCGGAGGTGTCAAAATAGTCGTAATGCTTATTAAAGTCCTNTGATCTGGTTCAGTAGAAAGGGACTATTGACCATCCCGTTCAAGATCTTAATCATGAACAAAACCCCGAGCATCTCTCTACAGCTGTGCAGCGTTGGCAAATTTATGAGCTTCAAGCGGCTTTTGTAAGGTGGGAGATTTAATGTCGAATCCCAAGACAAATTATTTAATGCCAATAATAAGAATTGTTTCTGTACCGACTCGAGTCTGTCCGAGTGCGTTTGATATCTAGGGTTCCATACGACGGACCCGTATTCTAAGATCGGCCTTACTAGGGAGGTGAAAAGAGCTTTAGTGACATAAGGATCTCTGAATTCTTTAGCCCAACGTTTGATGAAAGCCAAGACGCCCTTGGCTCTATTAACACAAGAGTTTACATGGGACTTGAATTCAAGCTTAGAGTCCATGGTTACGCCTAGATCGATGAAATTAGTTACCTGATCAACACTATATTCACGAATGCGGTAGCTATATGATTGAAAAGGTTTTCTAGAAAAACAAATAAATTTACACTTTTGCAAGTTAAGTGACATAGAATTTACTTCACACCATTTAAACACATTACTAAGGTCCACCTGTAATTGTTTCCTGTCTCCTGGGGCACCAATGAACTTAAATAACTTAACGTCGTCTGCGTACATTAAGCAATTCGAATACTTCAATATATTTGGAAGATCGTTGATGAATAAAATAAACAGAAGGGGACCAAGGTGGCTACCTTGAGGTACACCTGACGTCACATGAATTACACGAGATGAACATTTTTTTAAAGATAACCCTCTGTTTCCTGCCAATTAAATAAGAAGAAAGCCAGCGCAGCAGGATTGGAGGGAAACCAATTTCATCAAGTTTGTATATTAGAGTTGAATGAGATACTTTATCAAAAGCCTTGCTGAAATCAGTGTATATGACGTCAGTTTGATAATTACTTTTGAAACCATTGTTCACATTTGTAGTGAATTCAAGAAGGTTTGATACAGTTGATTTACCTTTACAAAAACCGTGTTGTGATACATCGATAACGGGTGTTAAGGAATAAGGTAGTTCTTCCGTAACGATTTCTTCAAATAATTTAGGAGTGGCACACAGCTTAGCGATTCCCCTATAATTCGCAATATTCGACCTGCTTCCATTTTTATAAAGCGGCAAGATATACGACTCCTTCCACAAAGAGGGGGACAACTCCTTGCTTTAGAGAAGCATTGAAGATGTTTGTTAATGGCTTATATAGATAATCAGCACAACTTATTAGGACACAGGAGGGAATACCATCGGCCACTTAGAAACGAATTTTTTAAACTATTCAAATGAAGGAGAACATTGTCAGCGGACATTGAAGGAATACGGATGTGGTCAAACTGTGGGAGTGGAAAAGGATAGCTAGAAGTTTTTTCATTTGGCTCGACAGAATAGTTCGATTCAAAATAATTTGCAAACAAATCAGCAATCATATCATCATCACTAGAAATAACATCATCTAATTTCAGTGTTGAGGGAAACCCATTTATTTTACGTTTTGAGTTAACAAAATGATAAAATAACTTGGGATTAGAAACCATGTTAATGCGAGTTTTATTAATGTAATTTCTGTAACATTTTCTGTTTAACAGGCTAACCTAATATTCGCGGCTTGCGTTTTGGTACGCACGCCGTCGAATTTGTTTTTTTGCGTCACCCGAAATTGGCTTGCGTGCGTTTGCATTTGAGTTCATTGAGCGAAACGTCAAATCAAAATGTCACGCAGAACAAAAATTGGAAATTGAGTTAGCTTCATACGCACGCCGTTCAATTTCGGTTGGTCCCATACAAGTTGTATGTGCATGAGAAATTTTTGACAGTAAATTGGCGGCGTGCGTGAATATTAGGTTAGCCTGTAAGGCATTGTATTTATGACGAAGGATGGAGTACGCGGCGTAGTGAGAAGACAGGCCTGATTTTTTATAAAGTTTAAATGATTTAGTTTTCTGATTTTTTAAATGCAACAGACTACACGAAATTTCAGTTTATTTTAAGTGATGGACAAAATTGAATGATAGTATCCATATAAGCAAAGAAAATCGGGTTGCCAATGGAAGAAAAAATTAAAAAAGTGTGTGTTTTTAAAAAGTTTTCGATACTACGAGTACTTTGTAAATTATCGAGTAAAATCACCAAATAAGGTATCGAGTATTAAAGTACTCATTTTTATACCCTCAGTATCGATACTTACTCAATATCGATAGTATCGTTCGAACCCTAACCATAAGTGGTTTGCTGCAAGCGGTCGAACACTACAGACAAAAGTATCCGTCTCACACAAAAGCATCTCTTATGAACCAAAATATTTGAAGTAAATGGATATAAAGATTGCTGACTTAAAATGCCATTAATAAAAAAAATAAACGGAAAGAAGAATTTTTTATGATTTTTTAAAATTTTTTTCATATTTTTCTCAGCTTTAATATTATCGTGTACCATGGGTTTTCAATCAATGTCAGACTTTTTGAGCACTTTAAAAGGGTAAATGTATTCAGTTTCAATAAAAAACAGTTCAGGAATAAAAAATCGGGTTTCATGGTCGTAAAAGCTGAAAATTTAAAATAATAATTTCAATTTCAACAATTTCCGGATCCGGAAAAAACAAATTTCATATTTACTTTCCTTGCCAACCTCACGTTTTTTCGTGCGAAAACTTTCGGTTTTTGAAAATCGACCAAAAAAGGCCACTCTAAGGTACACCTTTGTAGTTATAAAGTGGGCGGTGCTACGCCCAATTACTAAAAGTCTATAGCAGTCTTATTTATTGTTAGGAGATTGTTGTAACTATTAACTCGAAGTAAGCGTTCAGTTATTGAAATATCGGAGTTTTCGTATATCTGAAATTTACCGTTATACGGGAAGCGGGTGTAATTTTAGTCCGATTTGAATAATTTTCAACAAATTGCTTTCTCGTACCAAGGTTTTTAATTGCACCAAATTTGGTGGAAATTGATAAATCGGTTACGCACATTATCCAAAAATTTGTAGTATTCTAATTTTCTGCTAAGTGGTTATTGCTATCATCGATTTTAATTGAATTAGCTCCAGTAGTTACTGATTTATCGCAGTTTACGTGTTTCTGTAAATTACCGTTATAATGCAGGTGGGCGTGGTATTGCCCGATTTCAAAGATTTTCAAGAAATTTCTTAGCTAGGCCCTACCAACGCCTCGTACCGAGTTTGGTAACGATTGGTCAAAGAGCTACTGAGAAACAGCATTTCATCATAAGTGGGCGGGGTCACACCCATTTTCCAAAAATTTCATAACAATATTATTTTTTACCACACTTCTACTTCACAAACAAATTTTCAACAATTTGCATCTAATGTTTACTGAAATATCGCAGTTTTTGCATTTTTCGAAAGTGGGCGTAGTTACAGACCGATTTCGCCCATTTTCAATACCAACCTGCCTTGGATAAAGGGAAACCTACATACCAAATTTCGTTGAGATATCTCAATTTTTGCTCGAGTTATCGTGTACACGGGCACAAGTGCGCTCGGGTGTAAATATACTAAAATACTCATTCCGTTTTCAAGCCCATGTAATTTTAGAGAGATAAAGTGCAAGTTTGAAGTAGCTGAAAAATCCCGTCCATCTTGGATAACTTTTTTGCTAATCGTGTTGCGCATTTTCTTAAATTCAACGAGTGCTCTTAAATATATGTATAAACCGACGCGACTTCTTGCACTTCATTATACTAAAATTGAATAAGCTACAAAACTGCCGACCCAAACATTTTCTTTTATTTAAAGCTTTACAATAAGTTTGAATCTCTGAGGAATATGGTTTTTGTTGTAGTATGAACTATAATAAAAATAATACACTTGTGCTAAGTGTTTGGACGAGATTCTCCTCCAAATTGTGGTATGCGAATTGATGCTGTTACCCCAAACGATGTGTCCCGGACCAAACCCAGGTCCTACGGACCGCCACTCAGCCGCAGCGGCTATATTTTTATAAAAAATTTACGAAAAATATTTACAATGAAAGACATAATGAATATTAGAAAAAAATAGTGTGTACTTACTGAGTTACTGAATGTAGTGTTCTTTGGGATCATTATTTACGCTCATATCCTACTGAAATTTCATTTTGAAAAGTCGCTAATATGTAAATATTTGGACTTTTACTTCTCCATTTTTTATGATGATATACCTTTTAATAAAAGAAATAAATGGGTAAGGGAACTGTCCTCAAAGCAAATTCCTCTAACGTACGCGAATTGGGTTTAAATGTCGGGATTATAATAGCCAGTATATTATATTCAGTATTTATCTGTACTTACGAAGTTTAGGATATCCAATAAATACATAACATAAAAATTTGCAAATAATAATTATTTTTAAGTCTGTTTCTTCTTATCAGCATTTAAAAGAATTTTATCAAACATTATCTACTTATAAGAATCGAGGCACTTTTAGATTTAGTCCCTCTTATTCCTTTGTCCTCACCGTTAACCAATTTTTCTACCTCTTTATACTAACTTCTTTGCTTTGAACATGGTGAAGAAATGAAAACTTTTATCTTGTAATATGTTATAACACAAAATTAAGAAGTGACGAGTTTTCAACTAACCTATTATAGGCTCTCCCATCTCCGAAATTTGAAATTTATAATAATGTTAATCTAAATTTGTTTTAAAATGTGCTTATTTAGGGTGTCCTTAGGAGTTTATTTGATTTTATTAGTTTAATGAGTAAGCTGCCCATAGACTTTAATAAGCTTATTTATTTTGAATAAAAGCTCTTATTCATTTAGGAGCATCTGTATTGGGTCCTCCCTTTGGAAATTTCTCACCATTCGGAGCACCAGCATCTTTACTGACATCAGCTCATTCGCATCGCTCCCCACATCCCCCACACAGCCCACTTCAGCAGCATCACCAACACCCAGCTCCTGCAGCAGCATTTTTTCCACCACCCTTACTCTATTGGTCATATCCTAGTCCACCGGTGTCACCAACCGCTTATTATGCCTCGCCGCCGACGCATTCGACCACACAATTGACTGGAAATATTGCTGCTACACAGCACCAAACCATGGTTGGTATTTGCTTCTTTTTTTCCTCATTTCTACCGGAATAACCATTCGTTTTTTTTTTCAGTATTCTTTGGATTTTCTACCAGCAGTTCAGCCTTCTGCGGTTAGCCCTCCAAATGTAGCCATACATTCCCCTAGTACTTACCTACCGCCAAAACCATTTTCGGCTCTGCCGATTTCTCCTAGGGCTACAGGTGCATTAGGTGGTGGCAGTGGAAGTAGGTCGAATGTCGGTGCCCTGCCACCTTACTATAATAAATTGCCATTGCCACTTCCAATGTTGCAACCACAAACAAACAATATGTACCACTACAGCTCCTCGCCATCGATGACTGCATCTCCACAGCCAAACTTACTCCAATTGCCCAATACACCGGCGTCAGCGCTACCTCCGAACCGATCGGCCACAACCGGGTCTATGCCGACAACATCGACAGTTTTATCCATTCCGACTACAACGTTGCTCACAGTTGACACATCCCAAAACGAATGCGCGTCCCCTTTGAAAGTGGTACCTTCTACTCCTAAGCCCACGAGTAAAATCTCCTTCAGCCGGGATGTGGCCGCCAGTAATGTCAATGTAGTGCCGAACGCTTGCAGGGAACTTTATATTGCCTAACAGTTAATACACTTAAATACTTTTCTATATAAAGATGGTGGCTGCGTTTCTTTATACATTCCGGATAATCCCAATTCACAGCCGGAATAAACAGAATGCGTTTGAAATATACGTCAACATATAATCAGGAACGTTCTAAGGAATAAGTAAACAAAAAAGTTTATTCCAAACGTTCAGAATGAATAAAGAAATGCAGCCGGTATGAAAAAAGATTATATAGAGTGATGTATGTGCAATAGAAAATACGGAGACCTGTAGTTATAGTCAAAATAACTCTAAAGCAAGTTGCGGCTTTTTTGACAGATATCTCATTGAAAATTAGGTCAAAAAGCTCCAATCACTTTTACAGTCGATTTTGTTTTGACTATAACTTCGAGCATAGATTTAAATAAACTTAAAAGTGGCTACAGTTTTTCCAACTTAGCAGTAGTAATATATTTATTCTTGTACCACATATGAATTCCACACTTCTTGCCAATTTGTTAAGCATATCGTCGTTTAAAGTACAAAACCGCGTAACAAACATGTTTTGCCAAAAATTGTATTTGCTCACAGAAGCTCTTGGATCAAGCCTTATCCATTCGTCCTGAAATTTACTAGCCAGAAATGCGATTGCTTTACAAAAGAAAGAACCATTTTGAAATACCAGTGTTTTTACTTTCTAAAAGTAATATGTGTAACCTCACATACGCGGTTGTATACTTTAAACGACGATATGTAGGTCTTATTAACAACAAACTTAATACGTACAAATGTAAGTGAGAAATGAAATTCTTAAGCGGAAAATGGCTACAAATTAGGGATATGCGATTAATCAATTAACCGATCAAGCTGATTAATCGAAAGCCGATTAATTAATTAAACAAAGGATAATTATTTTTGATTAAAATTGATGATTTAAATTGATTAATCAGTTTGCAGCAAACTGATTAATCATATCATATGTTTGTATACAAAAATATAAAAGAATTTATCTTCATATGTATGTATATATGCATACGTATTTTTTATTTTAGGGAGCTACATACATATGGACGTAGTAGTATATACTACATAGTACGTACTTGTTTGGCATTTAATTTTTATTAATAATGCTGGATTTCCACTAGGCATTCAACGGCAAAAATGACAAATGACAAAGTCGGTCATTAAAAAATAATGGTGTCATTACATTCAAAAATAGTCATTAAGTTCATTTCCACATGGCATTTTTTTAAATTATATATATTTTTTGTCATTTCAATGCCTAGTGGAAATTCGGCATAAGAATAATATTGAATGTGAATACAAACATACATAATGCAAGCGTATGTCTCTTATAC